TAATGTTATTTTATGTAATATGTTGATTTGGAATTGCCAAAGAATGGGGAATCAAATATTTTTCAGAGCTCTCCAGAAAAGAGAGAATGAGAATCTAAACTCTGGAAAGCGTTTTACTTAGGTCTTTTCTATTGATGGTTACATTTCTAGAATCTTTTGACTTCCATTTATAAAATGTTGTCTAGAGAAATTTGGCAGTGTGCTCGTGCTCTTGCATGTGGGCTAAACTCATTAGGCCAGTTACTTTCAGTGGGAAGTAGGTAGGGTAACTTCCCTAGATTAGAGGGATTTATTGGAATCACTTGGGAGGCTTTTTTTTTTTTTTTTTTTTGAAACAGAGTTTCACTCTTGTTGCCCAGGCTGGAGTGCAATGGTGTGATCTCAGTTTACTGCAACCTCTGCCTCCCAGGTTCAAGCAATCCTCCTGCCTCAGCCTCCTGAGTAGCTGGGATCACAGGCACCTGTCACCATGCCCAGCTAAGTTTTTGTATTTTTAGTAGAAATTGAGTTTCATCATGTTGGCCAGGCTGGTTTTGAACTCCTGACCTCAGGTGATCCACTTTGATCCACTTGCCTCCAGCTCCCAAAGTGCTGGGATTACGAGTATGAGCCACTGGTCTTGGCCTCTTGGGAGGGTTTTGTTTTTTTTTTTGAGTTGGAGTCTTGCTCTGTCACCGAGGCTGGAGTGCAGTGGCGCCATTTCGGCTCACTGCAACCTCCGCCTCCTGGATTCAAGAGATTCTCCTGCCTCAGCTTCCCGAGTAGCTGGGACTACAGGCGTTTGCCACCATGCCTGGCTAATTTTTTTGTATTTTTAGTAGAGACAGGGTCTCACCGTATTAGCCAGGATAGTCTTGATCTCCTGACCTCGTGATCCTCCTGCCTCGGCCTCCCAAAGTGCTGGGATTACAGGTGTGAGCCACTGCACCTGGCAAGGAGGCTTTTAAAGCTTAGATATTCCCAAAGAATCTGGGCAGATGCTATGTCCTTCCCTGCGCATTGTGAATCTAGTAGCAAGCCACCATTAGTGGAAGTGAGTGTTAATTGTCAGTTGTGGTGGAGTATTATACGTAGGATGTGAATCCCTGAAATACATAGGCAAACTAAATAGCATTTGAGAAGTAACAGAACATTTTGGAATATTTTATATATCTTTTTGTAGCTTATTTCAATAAAAGATAATTTTTAGGTAATTATTTTCATACCACTGTTCTCATAATTGTTTTACATGTTTGTGCTTCATTAGACATAAACTTGGAGGAGGCAGTGGAGAGAGCATCCTGGTATCACAGCTTCAGCATGGACTGACGTTAGAGTTTGAACACAGTGATTCACCTCGTCGATTACGTCTTGTGCTTAGTGAACTGTTGGCAATTATGAACAAGGTGCATTTCTTTTAACCACAGCTCAAAGTATGCATGATTTGTTGTCTAGGGAGGTAGACAGAAAAAGAGGCAAGAAGGCAGGCAGGTTGAATTCTCCTCCACTTTTATTTATATTTTTGTTTTTTGAGACGGAGTTTTGCTCTTGTTGCCCAGGCTGGAGTACGGTGGCGTAATCTCGGCTCACTGCAACCTCCACCTCCCAGGCTCAATTGGTTCTCTTGCCTCACCCTCCTGAGTAGCTAGGATTACAGGTGCCTGCCACCATGCCTGGTTAATTTTTTGTATTTTTAGTAGAGATGGGGTCTCACCATGTTGGCCAGGCTGGTCAGGCTGGTCTCAAACTCCTGAACTCGGGTGGTCCACCTGCTTCAGCCCCCCAAAGTGCTGGGATTACAGGCATGAGCCATTGTGCCCAGCCCACTCTACTATTTCTATATATGTTTTTTCCTTTGAAAGGCTGAAAAGATATCACAAGTCTGCCTTAAAGGCTTTCTCTAATCATTATTTTCTCTCATTTATACCTGTTCTGCATTTTCTATCAGGGGGATTTTTTTCTGCATGGAATCCATACAATAGCTTCTTGACATTTAGAAGGGGATTTATCTCAAGACTTGTCCAGATTACCAAATTTATTACCAAATAATACCTTTATAGGATATAATTCCTCCTATAAAGTATAATGAAGTATAACTGAAAAATGTATGTAATTCATTTAGACACTGGATGAGCATTAACAGCCTCATATATGACGGTAGTGGGGAGTATCAATGCTGAATTGGATGTAAGATGATTGGCTAGTCTGACCATGTTGGCCAGGCTGGTCTCGATCTTCTGACCTCAGTTGATCCACCCTCTTTGGCCTCCCAGAGTGCTGGGATTACAGGCGTGAGCCACCGCACCCTGCCATGAATTTATATTTGTTAAACTGCTTTAGGTTGACTGTTTTTGGCTTTTTAAAAGCAGTTTATGTAGGTTGCATTTGGCTTGCCTTATCCTTTAATTCCAGTTGTCTCCAAATATTTTGACAGAAATCAGTTCTTGAGATTGATACTCCTATATTTGAATAATAATTAACATGACTGCTGTCTGTGGTTAAATTGTTGAAATTGATTGAATGCTGCATATTCCGCTGTGGTATATTAGTGATATATTAAGAGACAATCTGTGAGCTCAAGAAATAATTATAAAAATAGGGATTTAATTATCTTAAATTAATAGAGTTCAAATCTTTTTTTTTCTTTTTCCTTTTTTAAGGTGTCTGAGTCAAATGGAGAATTTTTTTTCAAGTCTTCTGAGCTTTTTGAGAGTCCAGTATATTTGGAGGAAGCTGCAGATGTACTTTGTATTTTACAAGCAGGTACTGTACTGAGTGCTAAGATGCATTTCATATATAGTTTCTTGTTAAATGATACTGTGTAACTTCTTAGCCTGGTATGCTTTGTTATTTTAAGGATCATATAACAAATATGTACTTTAAAAGTTGAAGTCAAAAGTGACTAATAGTTGGAAATGATTAAGTAAATTTTATCATTTTCATAGTGTCACATATTATGCAGACATTAACATGGTATCTTTGATTTAATTATTTTAATGCTGATTACTGATTTTGGAAAATGTTTACAATATGTTAAGTGAAAAAAGCAAAGGGCAAAGTGGTAAATAGAATATAATCACAATTTTGTTAAAAGTTAAAGCAAAACCAATGCCCATGGTGAATTAAAATATTTATTTTTTTTTAGAGACAGTGTCTCTCTGTTGCTCAGGCTGGAGTGCAGTGGCAGGATCATAGCTCACTGCAACCTTGAATTCCTGGACTCCAGGGATCCTCCTGAGTAGCTGGGACTACAGGCGTGTGAAAACATTTTATATTAACTTTGAATGATGGGATTATAGCGGATTTTAATTTTCTTCTTTGTACCTTTTTGTATTTTCCAGATTCTATATAATAGATATGAACGATAGAAATAAAAGAGGACAGAAAAATGTAAAGAAGGCCGTTGCTCATGCCTGTAATCCTAGCACTTTGGGAGGCCGAGGCAGGAGGATCACTTGAGCTCAGGAATTTGAGACCAGCCTGGGCAACATAGTGAGACCCTGTCTCTACAAAAAATGAAAAAAAAAAAAAATAGCCTGGTGTGGTGGGGTACACCTGCAGTCTCAGCTGCTTGGGAAGCTGAGACAGGAAGATGGCTTGAGCCTGGGAGATTGAGGCTGTAGCAAGCCATAATTGTGCCATTGCACTCCAGCCAGAGTGAGACCTTGTCTTAAGAAAAAAAATGTAAAGATTTTCTTGAAAATAACTCTTTAGACCAGTTCAATAAAATAAAATTTCCTGTACTGTTCTGTTCTGTGCTGTGCTGTTCAGTGTTCTGTATGGCTATGGATTACTTGAAACGTGGCTAGTGTGATTGAGGAACTGAACTGTTTTTAATTTAATTTAAGCATCCTTATGTTGCTAGTGGCTATCCTACTGGACAGCTTAGCTCTAGACTATGAAAAGAAAGTACTTTAATTTCTTTTAGATGACATTTGTGAAATGTCAAAATATATTTAATAATGCAATGAAATGTCACTCTTGGCTGGGCACGGTGGCTCACACCTGCAATTCCAGCAGTTTAGAAGGCTGAAGCAGGAGGATCACTTGAGCCCAGGAGGTTGAGGCTGCAGTGAGCTATAATCACACCACTGCACTCTAGCCTGGGCAACAGAGCAAGACCCTGTCTCAAAGAAAAAAAGAAATATCACTCTTTTAACACTGGGGACAGGCATGGTGACTTATGCCTGCAATCTTAGCACTTCAGGAGGCTGAGATTGGAGGATTGCTTGAGGCCAAAGTTTGAGACCCACCTGGGCTAGACGGTGAGATTCAATCTCCACAAAAAAAAAAAAAAAAATTACCTGGGTGTGGTGGAATGCACCTGTTAACAAATACTAACACTGATTTTGTTTTCTTGTAGAGCTCCCTTCCTTGCTTCCTATAGTTGATGTAGCTGAAGCCTTGCTACATGTTAGAAATGGTGCCTGGTTCTTGTGTCTCTTGGTGGCCAATGTTCCTGATAGTTTTAATGAAGGTAAATATAATTCTAACATGGAATATTGAAGAGATTTGCTTGGGCATGTACAGGACCTATTTTTTTGACCTAAGAAGAAACATTAATGGGATTCTATTTGAGTTTTTATCTTTTAAAAGTTTGTTAGTATTTATTAAAGAATATTGAGTTCGTAAATTGTATTTAGTTTAAAGTTCGTATTGACATGCAAATTTAAGTGTGATATGTAGCAAAGAAATGTGTATATATATATATATATATATTTTTTTTTTTTTTTTTTTACAAAAGTTTATTTATCTTTTTGAGAGGAAGTCTCACTCTGTCGCCAGGCTGGAGTGCAGTGGTGTGATCTTAGCTCACTGCAACCTCCAACTCCCTGGTTCAAGCGATTCTCCTGCCTCAGACTTCTGAGTAGCTGGGATTACAGGCATGTGCCGCCACACCCAGCCAATTTTTGTATTTTTAGTAGCGATGGGGTTTCACCATGTTGGCCAGGATGGTCTCAATCTCCTGACCTCATGATCCGCCTGCCTCTGCCTCCCAGAGTGCTGGGATTACAGGTGTGAGCCACTGCGCCCGGCCACAAAAGTTTATCTTAAATGTATAGCAACTCCAAAATAACACTTAATGCCAGCTATCGGTGGCAAAAGATGTTATGGCAGGGAATACAGATGTTTGCGGTTGAAATGAAGGGTAACCGTCTCCTCAGGCACAAGGAAATAGCTTACTTTTTGCCAGATTTCTTAATTCCACCTGTGACCAGGGGCCTCTTCCCCAAGGCCTTCACTTTTAACTCCTCGAGTTTCTTCTGCTTCTCTTTTTGTTTCTGCTTGAAAGCCTTATCTTCCATGTCCATCTCCTTGGCCTGCTTCTTGGGCTGTTTCAGGAGCTTCTTGCCATCTTCACGCTGGACATGGTGCTTGCCGCTCCTTCCTCAAGAAAATTCTTTTTATACCATTAGTCACCAATGCTGTAATATAACAATAAAAAATACCAAGGAACTAGAAGTTATAATATCTATAATCAGGGATCAAAGAAGAGACATATATCTGTGAAATATCAAGAGAACAATAGGAGATATGTATAATTAGAAATCCCAGGAATCAGACCTTTGTTTTTTATTCTTAATGCTGCCAGTTTGCAGAGAAGTATAGGGTAGAAATTGAGAAAAATCAACTAAATTTTTTCACCTCTTTATGGCGATTGAAGGTTGTTGTTTGAGTATGAGTGATATAAAAATAAAAACAACATTTTGTTGAAAAAGGTAGTTTGTGAATTAGGAGCCTGGGAGGAAAAAGCCCTGGATCTGGAGTTACAATTCCTGATTTTGTCATTCAGTTTTTTTTTTTTTTTTTT